GATCTAAAAAAGAAAAGTACCTAGGTCTATTATAAGATGACAAACTGATATGGGACTCTCATATAGACAAAATAGCATCAAAATTAGCATCACTTACGGGAGCATTGCGAAAGGTATCAAACTGTATTCCATACAAAATCAAATCTACTGTTTATAACGCCCTAGCCAAGCCACACCTGGAGTACCTTATAGAGATATGGGGTTCTGCCGCACAAACGCACATAAGTAAGTTACAACGAGCACAAAGTAAACTAATAAAAACACTATTTCATTATAACTACCTAACCCCGACTAAGGAGCTATACAGAAAAACTAAATTTTTAAACATTAAACAATTATATACATATAACACATGCCTTATTATTAAAAAAATAATATCTAAAAACATACATTCAACAATTACATTCACACCAAAGTGTGAATTTCTTACACATAATCTTAGAAACAAAAACAAACTTCAAATCTGGCAGCCTCGGACGAGATCTTATGGCAATAAAAATATTATGTGTGAGGGTGTACTTTTGTATAATAATCTACCGGATACTATAAAAGATTGTAATAATATTAAGCATTTTAAGAATAAACTAAAATCATATATTGTAGATAAAATTTCATAACTGCATATCTTCGATTTTGAACATATCTGTAATTGCATTAATACAATATTCATATTTTTAAAACATTACGATATAATACATACATATGTTTGCATTAAGTAAGAAAAAGAGTAACAAATTAATTAAGGATATACATACAAGAATAAAACATAATAGAATTATATAATGCATGCTACCGTGTAAATACTGGTAATATTATTTTGTATGTATACTTAATCTCTGTAAAAGTGAACAATGTGTTCTTTAAGAGAAATAAATGTCTTTAACCCGAATAATATGTCATTTAAAAATAATTGCTGAACTTAGCTTATTGCAAGTTGAGCAACGTATATTGTTTTAATTTTAAGTATAATCTTAGGATTTACATTGTCTAGTTTAAGCCAAAAAATTGTGAAATTGGAACCATAAAAAAAAAAAAAAAACCTAACCTAACCTAACCTAACCTTTTTTTTTACATAGGGAAATGCCTACGCATACCCGCCTCGCGGGGGCAAGGACGGGTTATGTCGGACTCGCACCGACTAAAACCCCATGGTGTTCCACACTCGTCGCATATTGGCAGGGCCACGGGAATGCTTTCGCACACTTCCGCGGCCCCACCTGCGCTGGCCGCCCCATGGCGGCCCCTACTCGGGAGAGGAACACTCCTCCCCCATCTCCTTCTCAGGTAAGGCGCACCAGAACACATGGTGCGCCCTCCTCCTCGGCCTCCAATTTCCAATGCGCAACGGACGCCCCCGTGTCCGATGCGCGAAGGCCATGGGGCCAGGAAAAACTAGCACTCAGAAGCACCGGCCTTCCTGGCCCCAGCGGCGGATCTGGTCTATGGCTCCGCCGCCAACCGAGATTCGGCTGCGGAGGGTAGGGAGAGCGGCGCCTCGCAATACCGACACTCCTCTCCCCCCGCAGCCCCACCACCACCGCATCATTAACGGTGCGGCCCCGTCAGAGTCGCGGAGGATAGGGCGAGTGGCGCATCGCCATACCAGCACGCCTCCTCCTCCGCGACTCCACCTCGGCTGCTGCGATAGAGGGAGCGGACACCCCTCTCGCAGCATCCCACCGACACACATCCGAAGTGGGCTTCCCAAGCCCACTCGGAGTGGCCACCTCGGGCCGGCCCTACACCACGGGCCAGCCAAGGGGTTCCTCTTTGTTCACCGTGGGTGACCAAGCCACGGCTACTAAGCCCCCCCCGCCACGACAAGGCGGGAACCCGTTCGGGGGGGAACCTAACCTAACCTTTTTTTTTTTTTTTTACATGGGGAAATGCCTACGCATACCCGCCTCGCGGGGGCAAGGACGGGTTATGTCGGACTCGCACCGACTAAAACCCCATGGTGTTCCACACTCGTCGCATATTGGCAGGGCCACGGGAACGCTTTCGCACACTTCCGCGGCCCCACCTGCGCTGGCCGCCCCATGGCGGCCCCTCCTCAGGAGAGGAACACTCCTCCCCCATCTCCTTCTCAGGTAAGGCGCACCAGAACACATGGTGCGCCCTCCTCCTCGGCCTCCAATTTCCAATGCGCAACGGACGCCCCCGTGTCCGATGCGCGAAGGCCATGGGGCCAGGAAAAACTAGCACTCAGAAGCACCGGCCTTCCTGACCCCAGCGGCGGATCTGGTCTATGGCTCCGCCGCCAACCGAGATTCGGCTGCGGAGGGTAGGGAGAGCGGCGCCTCGCAATACCGACACTCCTCTCCCCCCGCAGCCCCACCACCACCGCAACATTAACGGTGCGGCCCCGTCAGAGTCGCGGAGGATAGGGCGAGTGGCACATCGCCATACCAACACTCCTCTTCCTCCGCGACTCCACCTCGGCTGCAGCGGTAGAGGGTGCGGACTCCCCTCTCACCGCAGCCCCCCGACACACATCCGAAGTGGGCTTCCCAAGCCCACTCGGAGTGGCCACCTCGGGCCGGCCCTACACCACGGGCCAGCCAAGGGGTTCCTCTTTGTTCACCGTGGGTGACCAAGCCACGGCTACTATGCCCCCCCCCGCCACGACAAGGTGGGAACCCGTTCGGGGGGGAACCTAACCTAACCTAAACTAACCTAACCAAGTTCGCGCCATCCGTCGAAGCGTTAGCATCGTTTTAAGTGAGCTCCGCGTTCAAAAAAAAAAAAAATCAGGAGAAATAGTTAATTTAGTGTCACGGTGAAGTGCAATATATCAAATTGTGCGGAAAAGTGTCGGCTTTAAGTTGGATGTAGTGGTGGCAAGTACACGATTTCGCCTGAAGGAATATTGGCGAGTTTATGCCGAATTTCATAAAAATCAGGTAAAATTTGACCATATTTTGCTAAACGCTGCAAAAACTAAAGCTGTTACATATACTTTTTTTGATCCCAAAATTTGACGCCCTGCACTGTGCACATTTTCTATGTTTTTCCGGAATTTTTGAGTAAGAAAATCCTAAGTTATAAGGCTTTTTCTCGGAACCACGTGGCCACGTGTTTTGGGAATTCGAAGTGTGCGGCTGAATTTGATTTTGTATTTTGATAGTCCCTTTTAAGACCTTTTATTTGGTGTATTGCAAATAAAAATCGGTGCACTCTATAAGATTTTACAGTGTAATAACCGGATAATTATATTAAGTTGAAACTTTAATACAAAATAACTCGAAAAGTAAATCGAGAACATATCTTTTTTAATTCGCATATATGAAGTACAAAAAATATTCTAATATTTTGTAAAATCTCAGATTTGCTCGCAAGAAAATACTGAGATATTCTCAATTTTGTAAAATTTGTTGGACACGTGGTCCCACTTCTGAAGGTTCTACAATGTCAAATAGCTAATATATTGAAGCAAATAAAAAATTGCAAGTAATTAACCCTTTTTTCAAAATTTTCTGACTTGTCAGTCAAAAGTTATTGATATTTTTACTATTTTTTGCATTTTATTTAAATTTAATTACAGAAAGTATATAATTTAATGATACAAGTCAATAGAGCGCACTGAGACCGATCTAGCGATACCAAGGTCGGGGGATCTATCTCTTTCCGTCTCTGAGATATACAAAATTTTTAATTTCGGACGCCATCTTGGAAAAACGTCAGAAACTTTGTTCGAAGATATCTCGATAACCGCTACTCGTAGAAGGTTGCGGTTTTCGTTGAACGTATTCGTATAAATAGAGGATCATTTAGGGGTGAAAAAACAAACACTTTTTGAGCACACCTTTTTATAGCCATAACTGGCTTGCCGACAGCGTGCTGAGAAGATTGAGCCCAAACTCGGTTATTTTAGGAGCACTGGAGAGGCAGTAAAACAAAATCTAGATTTGGTCAGCCATCTTGTTCCGCCATATTGTCGAATTTCAATATACCATATCTTTGGAACGGAGGCTCCTATCGAGTTGCGGTTTTCGGTAAAGTAATTGAAAAATTCAGCTCTATCGATTGAACGCCCTACTAACTCTACATAGAGTCTGCGAAAGATACTCCAGAAAGGTGATTCTTAGGACACAGCGTTTTTCAGCATAGTTGCTAGTGAGCTTCACCCTTACATACTCTTCTTTGTAATAAACTTGCTGACTCTACATAGAGCTTTAAAAATCAACTATAATAAAAAAAAAGGGTAATGTCGGTTAAATCTAGTAAATCGTGTGTTGAAATGGCAAAAAACAAAGCCACTACTAGGTCGGTTAGAGGAGTCAGTCCCTCATCAGCTCCAACATTACGAAAAAAAGTCCTCATACACAACACAGCCTCTTCCCAACAAGTCGCAGAAGATGCAGAGAATATTGATAGGAGAATCACTGCGAAAGGTGAGGCCATTCACGGGTCGGACTCAAGTAATCTCACAATGGGAGAATCGACCGAGCAAGTAAACATGATGAAAACAAAAGAACCGCAAACTGCCACTGACAATAGCACTTCTTTGGACATTGAGGCTGAGCTTGGTCTTCTGGGCTTATGCAAACCAGTGCACCGCACGGATGATGAGTGGTCGGATGTCGAAAGCATCGTAAGTGGAGATAGTAGAAGGTCTAGCATCTTGCCACCTGCGTACAAAAGAGCTGGCATTTCCATGGATCTCGCAACACAGCGGGCAAATGACTTCTTGCTCGCTGGCAAAGAGGCCCTGGAAAAAGCCGGAAACATGAAGCGCGAGTGCAAGCAGGAGGTACATGATTGCTTACAAGGCCTCTATGAAACAGTGCTGTCACTCTCTGACTCACGCTCTCGTCATCGACTGGCATTAGAACAGGAACGCAGTCGAGCAGCGAAAGAGTTGGTGAGAGTCGAAAGAGCACATACAAAACAACTAACAGCTTCAGTCCACTTACACTCAAAGACTTAAAGTTATCCAAGATATAATGCACGAAACGCAGAAATCGACAAAGGCGATAAGAGGGTGGTTAAATTACGAAATGGATGACCCTATCAAAGCGATATACAAAATAAAACAAGTAATATACGAAATATCAACCAAAACAAGCAAGGAACCACCTACTTGCATCGCTGATGAACACCTAAAGCAAGGGCAAACACATAATAGTGAAGAATTGGCGTCAATAGCAAATCAAGTAAATGACATCATGAAAAAGATTAAAGAACTAGATTCTGACATCAACGTCTTTAAAAATAACGTAGCGGATAAAGAAAGTATTGAACACATTGCACTGGCTCTGAACTCATGGAAAGATCCTCGCATTGATGATATTGCCAGCAACATATCCAATGTCAAACATACAATCCAGGATATGCAAACACGAGCCCTGTATGTAACATCCCCACAGTCAACATCTATAGATAGTATATCTACAGCCATAGAACCAGTGTTATTTAGAATAGACAAAATCACTGAGGACATAAAGGAATTAAGAGATTACGGAGTGAGCCAAAGTGCGTTTCAGAACAACTCAGGTTTGGGCACAGAGCTGGCAATTGCGGAAATCAGAGACAAGCTTAATCATCTGGAGACATGCAACTGCAGCAACATAACGAATAAAACAACAGAAAGTCCCAAAAATGTCGTAATAAAAGAACAACAAGCCGCTCGCCAAATAAAATCTTATGCAGAAGCACTTACTTCACCACGATTTGCTCTTGTTGTTGAATCATCGGATCCCAGACATACGAGCGAAGATGTTGTCAACACAATAAAGAACAACATCGACGTGGTACAACTTGGAGTGGGGGTTAACAATATAAGAAGGGTAAGAAATCAGAAGGTGCTACTATCATGCGACAATGACGAGGACCGAGAAAAGCTTCAAAATGCAATTAGAAACTCGGACAAGAAGCTAACAGTCTCAAAGTCAACAGCCAAAAACCCACTGCTTAAATTAATAGGAGTAGCTAATGATCTTAATAATACAAAACTAGAAGAAGCATTAGTTAACCAAAATATTAAGCTCCTAAAACACATAGAAATGGAAAATATAAAGACTAAAGTATTGAGACGAATTAAAGGGCGAACGGCGGCAATTAACAATATAATATTAGAAGTAAGCCCTGAGGTCTGGAAAGCACTGAAAGACCAAAGAGTGCATGTGGGGTACCAAATAGTACCCGCCCTAGACCAATCTCCCGTTGTGCAATGCTACCGATGTATGGGCTTTGGGCATAGGGCTAGAGAATGCAGGGCAGATAAATCAACTTGCGGATATTGTGCAGAGGACCACGACAGCAGAGAATGTCCACGCAGCAATGGAGCACCAACTTGCGCAAACTGCACTAGGAACAAAATTGTAGGTGATCTCAGCCACCCAGCATACAGCAATGAATGTTCAGTGTGGAAGAAATGGGATCGCATAGCCAGATCCTTGGTAGCATATTGCTAAGGTAAATCAGGATATTAACATCGATCAATCGCAGTCAAGTAGATACTCCTCTGGAAATTATGCACCAAATTCAATCTTAGCATATACACAAACTATAAAATTAGTACAGGTAAACCTTGGCCGAGGAATGGCAGCGTCTAAAGAATGTCTTCAAATGGCAATAAGCCAACGCATAGCGTTACTTCTACTGCAAGAACCATATGTAGGTGCAAAAGCACATGTAACCTGTAATCGTCGCGTAATTCAAAAACCTACTAGTAACAGAGATAAACCGGTTAAATCGGCAGTCATCGTTGTTGATCCAACTTACTTAATCATAGAAAATCCAGAGCATGTTAGCGAAAATATAGTAGGGTTTATAGTTAAAATAGGAAAATTTGAAGTAGGCATTATAAATGTATATTTAGAGAAAGACGGTAACATAGAAGAAGATACAAGGAAGATAACAAGAATTGTGCAAGATATGGCTACGGAAAACGTTATCCTAACAGGCGACTTTAATGCAAGGAGTCTCTGGTGGGGGAGCAGAGCGGAGGACAAGAGGGGTTTACTTTTATCGGAAATGATAGCTGAACTGGATATGAATGTTTTAAATCAGGGCAGTGAATCCACTTTTTACCAATACCGAGGAGGAAAGTTATATAGCAGCATAGTGGATGTGACCTGCTGTACGTCGGCAATCCTACATAAAATGGAAAGATGGAGGGTTGACCCTAATTTTGTTACACTATCTGATCATCGAGCCATACAATTTCAAATGAAGGTCAAAACGGATAAACAGAGTGTCGCGCTCAGAAATTCTACTCGCTTATTTAATACAGCCAAGGCAAACTGGTCTCTCTTCAGAAACGACCTTAAAGAAAAATTAGAAAAGGAGAACGTAACAGAAAATAAAATAAAAACCATAGATACACCAGAGGAATTGGATGATATCGTGGACTCATATGTCAAATAAGTAAAATTAGCCTGCCAGAAATCCATACCAACTATCTCTAAGAATGTATATAAAATCTGTACACCATGGTGGAACACGCAGCTAGAAGCAGAACGATGCAAAGTTATACGACTCAGAAGAAGAATAAAATTTGCCAATGAGAGACGAAAACCGTACGTTATCCAGGATTTTGTAGAAGCAAAAGAAAAATATGTTAATAATATAATGACAGCAATAACTACGAGCTGGAAAGAACTATGCACTAAACAAGAAAAAGAAACTGTATGGCAAAGTATGTACAGAATAATAAAAAAATGTAGCGCATCTAACCAAGACAAACTGCTGAAATCAGGCGATGAAATTCTTAACGCTAATGACTCAGCAATGTTATTGGCAAAATCTTTTTACCCAGATGACGATAAAAACATAGATACTGAAGAACAAACCAGAATACGAGGTAAAGCGGATAAAATAACTAAAGAACTTAGAAAAAGCACGACCATTTCTCATCGTAGTTTTACAGAGATAGAAATAGAGGCAGTTCTAGATAAAATGGACCCCAAAAAGGCGCCTGGCGAAGATGGCATCACGTCAGATATTTGCTATCAGTCATATAAGACCATGCCTTCAACACTAATGGCTATCTACAACAAGAGTCTCGAAATAGGTTATTTCCCAAAGATCTGGAAAAATGCCATAATAAAAATAATTCCAAAACCGAACAGAGAGGACTACACAGTTCCCAAAGCTTACCGCCCTACTGGCTTACTTCCTATATTTGGAAAGATATTAGAGAAAATTTTTGTAACCAGGCTTCTTTGGCAATTGGGAAAAGAGGGTAAACTTAACAGCCGACAATACGGGTTCATGTCGCAACGTAGTACAGAAGACGCCTTGTACGACGCTATCTCCTTTATAAAACAGGGGATCAAGGAAAAAAGATTGTTGTTGTGGTATCCCTCGATATAGAAGGGGCATTTGACAATGCATGGTGGCCTCAAATAATAAATGAAATGCATAGAAAACAAGTGAGTCAAGATATTCTGAGACTGATTACTAGTTACCTATCTTCGAGGAATATCACGCTAAAATATGCAGGTGCAGTAGTTACCAAATCTACCACCAAGGGGTGTATTCAGGGATCTACTTGCGGGCCTATACTTTGGAATATTCTCCTGGATCCCCTCCTCGAAAGTACATCACATCTGAAGGTACACGTTCAGGCGTTTGCCGACGATATACTTGTGATCGCAAAAGGCCACTCAGCCAAAGCAATTGAAGAAGAACTGAATCCAGCCTTGGACCACATAGTGTCATGGGGGAAAACACATAAGCTAAAATTTGCACCACAGAAAACACAAGCAGTAATAATTACTAAAAAACTATCTCCCGAATTGCCGCAAATAAAAATGGGGAATGTTTATGTCCAACCATCAGCGAGTGTAAAGGTACTTGGAGTCACAATTGATAAAAATCTAAACTTTACAGAACACGTTGAGGAAGCCCTAACAAAAGCTATCAATTTATATAAAAAAGTTTCTAGAACAGCAAAAGCACACTGGGGACTAAACTCCGAAATAATAAAGACTATTTATGTTGCAGTAGTGGAACCAACGATCCTATACGCGGCAAGTGCCTGGGCCGCAGTGGTAAAGAAGGATTATGTGAAGAAGAAACTAGACCGTATTACAAGAATGTTTGCTATCTTGATCTGCAAAGGACATAGAACAGTCTCATTTACTTCCAGCGTTCTACTAGCGGGCATATTTCCTCTGGATCTCAGAGCAATAGAACATCTTAAACTCAATGAAATAAAACGAGGGAAGGCGCTAACCCAACTTCCAGGAAGAATTGGTGAAAAACCAGTGAACCCATTTTACCTACCACATCCAGCCGACAGGTATCGTATCGCCTTTGAAATAATTACCTCAGAAGAAGAAGAAAAAATTACTGATTCCCAACAACCAAAATTATACACAGACGGAAGCAAAATTCAAGGTAAAGTCGGAGGAGCTGTAACAGTATGGAAAAACCATCAGGAAGTACGGAAATCGACATTCAGGCTGGAAAATTACTGCAGTGTCTATCAAGCTGAACTCACGGCAATCTTAAGAGCATTAGAACTGATGCACAAACACAAAGACCTAAGGAAAGGCATCATCTTAAGTGATTCACGCTCTGCCTTAGAATGCCTGAGCGATACATCGTCTCTGCATCCATTAGCTGTAGAAATACGAGATCGAATAAAGTGACTATTAGACAAAGGAGGCGAGGTTAACCCTTGCTGGATCAAAGCACACATCGGCATAGCCGGTAATGAAAGAGCCGATGAACTGGCGAAATATGCTGCGCTTTCGAACAAGCAAACTCCAGTATACGATAAATTCCCCCTGTCCTTCGCAAAGCGACTTGCCCGGGACTCTACTTGCGTAGAGTGGCAGTTACGATACAGTGAAGCTACTACGGGAGCTGTAACAAAGAAATTCCTACCGGACATAAAAGAAGCATATAGAACACTCAAGCATATAAAAATAGACAATTTAAAAGTACAACTACTAACAGGTCATGGAGGTTTTAGGGCTTATTTATATAAATATAAGCTAGCTCAGTCTCCATCTTGTGTTTGCAGTAACGATGAAGAAGAAAATATCGAACATTTATTAATAGACTGCCCTAGATTCGCCATACATAGACTTGATTGTGAACAAAAGATGGGGATGATGCTTACAGTTTATAATTTAAGGCATGCAATCAACAATGATGACTGTCGGACCCATTTCCTTAAGTTTTCAGAAGCAGTGGTACGCACTGCGGGTAAGGCTAATGGATCCAAATTAGTTTAAGATATAATATAAGATGATAAGCCTTATATGGTTGGAGTAACAAAATGTTCCATTAAGAGATAAATGGAAGATTTTGTTCTTTCAAAGTATTATTTATTATATAAATCAAAAGAATTATTAATAAATTGGCCTATACCACTCAAAAAAAAAAAGAATATATTATAGAAAAAATAAAGTACAAAAAAAATCTGTAAAAAGAAAAAAGGGGAAAAAAAAGAGAAAGAAAAAAAGAAAGAAAAAAGAAAAGAAAAAAAAAGAGAAATAAAAAAAAAGCAAACTAATAATAATTAAAAAAAAATGGGTGGCGCCCTCTGTACTCTCTAATAATCTAAGTACACTACTTTATTTTAACTTTAGAGGTAAGTAAACTTCAGTTTGGATTATAGACAACACTGTAAGAATGAAAGTAGAAAAAGAAAAAAAAATAGTAAAATAGTAAAATTTTAAGCTACTATCAATAGGTATAAGTATATAAGAGTAAAATCAATGTATAAAAAAAAAAGATAATGTTGAATACAGTTAAAATAATACCATAGTTAAATCTCAAGTAATAAAGGAATAGTTAGAATAGTTAGTTCTTGTAAGAAAAATATTTATATATAATATATATAAAAAAAAAAAAAAACAGCGTTCAAGTATTTAGTATAAATTATACCCATTAGTAAAAAAGGATGCTGCATGTATAGCAGCAGTTTTAAACAAAAAAAAAACAAAAAAAAACCTAACCTAACCTAACCTAACCTTTTTTTTTTTTTTTTACATGGGGAAATGCCTACGCATACCCGCCTCGCGGGGGCAAGGACGGGTTATGTCGGACTCGCACCGACTAAAACCCCATGGTGTTCCACTCTCGTCACATATTGGCAGGGCCACGGGAACGCTTTCGCACACCTCCGCGGCCCCACCTGCGCTGGCCGCCCCATGGCGGCCCCTCCCCGGGAGAGGACCACTCCTCCCCCATTTCCCTCTCAGGTAAGGCGCACCAGAACACATGGCGCGGCCTCCTCCTCGGCCTCCAATTTCATATGCGCCACGGACGCCCCCGCGTCCGATGCGCGAAGGCCATGGGGCCAGGAAAAACTAGCACTCAGTAGCACCAGCCTTCCTGACCCCAGCGGCGGATCTGGTCTATGGCTCCGCCGCCAACCAAGATTCGGCTGCGGAGGGCAGGGAGAGCGGCTCCACGCAATACCGGCACTCCTCTCCCCCCGCAGCCCCACCAC